TAATACTTCCTACATTTACTAATTAATTTATTGAAATTATTACTACAATCATTTTGACATCTTTTAATTTCTCTATTTTTATTAACATATTCTTCATTTCTTTATACATATTTCTTTTATTCAAATACCCTCCATTAATATTGTGATCTGCCACAATAGTCATATCAAATAATAAATCATTTTTATCTTTTTATTTATTACATATATATATGGTATTTTATGATATTATCAATCATTTTTGATATATTTATTTGTTCAATATCATAGTGATGTCATTGTATTAGAACATTATTTCATATGTTGATTTCTTATATTATTTATTCCTTGTATATTTCTTAATAACCCCGCCCCTATGATGATATAATGAAATAAAAACATTAAGAAAAAAATTTAATAAAAAGTCAGTTAATTGATTTTCTTTTAGTTCTTATTCTCTCCATAGAAATTTCTTGTACATAAAGGACAGTCATGTCTTCCAGTTGACCTAAACCAACCATAAATGCATTGTTTATGAAATTTTTTTCTACAACATTTACAAGCGACATTAGGGATAGTTGTAGTTCTGAGATAGAACAATGAATAACAAATAGGACAAGTGTCAGAATTATCGAATTGACGATCCAATTGTTGTTTCCATAACAAACAAGCATCGATAATTCCCAAATCTCTTGTCATTAAATTCATAGTGAGCATTCTTTTATATAAATGGCTTTTTGCTTCAGAGACACCAACTTTATTAGAAGCGACATTAACAGTAATCATATCAAGAGGATAAGTAGAAGGGAAAATTAATTGAGATTCAAAAACAAGTTCATCATTTTTATAAATAACAGTAACTGCTTTACCATCTAATTGAAGTTTAAGAATAAAGTCATCAGTTTCTTTCCAACTTAATATTTTTTGAACTTCTTCTTGTAAAATAAATGGACAAATATTTCTTTCAAAGAATTTCTTTACCATTTTAGGAGCATTTTTTCTTAATGAAAGACACCATTGTCTAACAACATTAGGGAATGATTGAACAATAACAAACATACAGTATGAAGCTAATATATTTAAAATTTGATTTTCATTTTGTTTAGTAAGAAGTTGATTTTCATTTTCGTCTTCACCATTAATAAAAGAGTGAAGTAAAGATAATACTGATGAAAGAGTTAAAGGGACATGTTGATCAGGTAAAAGAGTATACAAATTGTTAATAAATAATTCAAAGTGATGTACTTGTAAATAGGCAACAATCCATGAACGATATTCGGTAGAAGAGTCCTTAATTTTTCTTAACATTCCAAGAATGAACACAATTAAAGTAATTTTATTTAATGTATTAAAATGACTAAATGATTCAGTTGCTTTATCTAAGTATTCTTCTAATGAAGGAGATAATGGATGATATTTTTGTTGTTCTTTATCATCAAAATCAATGAAAACTTCATCTGATTTAAAGTTCATTGAAGCACCAATAAGATAACCAGCACAAATTTTAATAATGATAGAGTCTTTTCCTTTAAGAATTTTAAATAATTCAGGAATATATTTTATCATAGAACCTGACATGAAATCAATTTCTGTTAATAAATCAGTTTGAAGTAATAATTCTGAAATTAATTGAGTATTTGATTTATTGATAATTGAATTTACAATAAAATCTATTAAAGATATTTTAAAACTTAATTGAATTCCTTCTGATTCTGAAGTTAATAATTTAGATGGTAATGAATGAGTAATTAATATTTGTGATACTTGTAAAGCTCCACGTTTCATTAAATTAGAACTTACTGAAGAGTTTAATATTTGTAATAAAAATTGATATATTAAACTTAATGATTCTTCATTTTCTAATGATTCAAAACATAACGAACAAGACGATGAAAAAATATAATGAAGAATATGTAAAAATGGAAGTTCTAATTCAGAAGTAATTTCTAACGAAAAGATATATTTAAATACCATCTTTAAATGAGTTGGAAAGAATATTAATGGATATAAAATTGATAATTCTTTTAATCCTTGAGGATCTGGTTTAGCATTAACCATAAAGAATTTTTTAATTATAATATTAACTTTCTTCTCTAACCAATCAATGTGTAATGGTGAAAGATATGTTGATAAAAAGAATCTAACTGAATAAGATGTCGAAGAGTCAAAGAAATGAGCTAAATATTCAATGCCTTCTTTTGATAAGTTAATCCAAGAAGAAAGTTGATTAATAATATGGAAAATTAAATACTGCTCAATTTCATTTTTTTTGAATAGGTATTGAAGAAGTATTAATTGTTGTAAATGTGGAATTTCAACAGAAATTCTATTTGTTAATTTTTGATAAGAATCAAATAACCAATATTCAATATATTCATCATCTCCTTTTATTTCTTCATTATTTAAATGATATAACTTAATTAATAAAGAAAGTGTATTATTATAATGTGGATATTCATTTGAATTAATTAATGGCATTGGAATTAATAGCGGTGATTTAATATTTTGTGCGTATGAAGGAATTAATGGAATAAATGACGATAATGGAAGAAGTAATTTAATATCATTAATTAATAAATTACGAAGTGGAGGAATTACAGATGTTAATGAAATACAAAATGAAGTACAATTAGGAGATAATAAAAGTGATTTAATCATTTCATGAATTGGTTCAATTCCAATATAAGAAATAAAAGAAGGGAGTAATTTTAATAAAATAGTTCTAATAGGTTGATGGATTGGAAGAAAAAGATCAGGAGAAGTAACTGAGTTAATAATATGCAATAATAATTCATTGCTATTTATTGTTGATTTAATTAAGTAATTAATCAAATCAACATTTAAAAGAACTTGAAGATGATCAATTGAATTAGTAAATAAAAGTTCTGTTAATTGTTGTGGAGTTAATAAACGAGGAGAAATAGAAACAATTGACTGAACAATATCTTTAGAAGATTTAAATGAATGAAGTAATAATTGAATAAGAGGAATAATTTGAAGAACAACCGTTTGAATAAAATGTTTTTCTTTTAATTTATTAATAAACAGACGAAGATAATTTAAATGATTTAATGCATAATGTTTTGGGAATAAATTAAAGAACATTTGATTTAATAAATTACCAATAGAAGTAGATGGTTCAAAAGAAATACTTTGAATGAGAAGGTCTTCCATTTTAATAACATAAGATAAAAACTCATCATTAATTTCAATAGTATCATAAATGATATCAAATTCATTAATATTTTCTTCTATTGTCAACATAAAAATATGTTGGAATTGTCTTATAATCATTTGATGAACTTCTTCAGTTGCTGGATATTTTTGAAGAATAAAAGTGATTAAATCAATTTCTTTATCATTAAAGAAATGATCGTTTTCATTTCTATCAATAATTGTTTTTAATAAATCATATGAAAACCCTTGTGTAAATTCATTTTTAATACACTTATCTACTATAAATTTCATACAATTTAAATGTATTAAATATTCTTTTTCTTCACTTCTTCTTAAATGTGTTACTGTTGAACTTAATACTCCTTGAATTTCTTTGGTTTCATTTAGTTTTGTTAAGAATACTCCCATTGATGAATATCCTGAATCTGTTGTAATTGATCCTGGATCATTTAATAATAATTTCATTATTTCTATTAATTCATTTATATTTGTATATTTAAAATATTTAATACTTTCAAAATAATGTAAAATAACAACTGCTCTTTGTGGTCCTCTTATATGACTATCTCCTATAGCTTTAAATATTCCTTCAATATATTCTTTTTCTAATTTGTTTTCTTTAATAAATGGAAGAAATCTTTTGAGTGTTGGAAAGACATAAAGTGATCCAAGACATGCTGTTGAAATATATTGAATAGTGTTATTATAAAATTCTTTGTTAAATATTGCTCCATTTTCTAATAACGAATTTATACATAAAAATAATTGTTTTGAATATTTTGAAAATGGTTGTAATTCATTAACTGTTTTGATTATTATATTTTTTAATAAATCAAATCGTTCCATTACAATAAAACTGCACGTTGTTAATGCTGCATCAATACTTGAAAAATATACTTCATTTGTAATAGATCCGTATGATTCTATTAATGATTTAACTGAATTTTCTAAATGTGTTTTACCATATGAAGAAAGTTTATTAATATTAATGTTTGGTAATATTGTGGCAAGACATCCCATTCTTGAAATTATATCATACTCATTACTTGAAACTAAACGAAGTATTTGGCTAAGATTATTGGTAATAACTTTTTGTCTTCCTTCGAATGAAAGAATGTTTAACGCTTTCTTTGCTGATTCACTTACTTCTTTTACTGAGTCATGACAACACAAAAGCCACCATGGAATAATCTCACTTATACAAAAACTAATCATATTTTTCCCTTGGGGAGATTGTAATATCCCATCTGACAAACAAATAAAAAGATTAAGTCTAACGTTTGATGATTTATGTGTTGATAATAATGTAAATATATTAGAAAAATGTAAAGAAAAGGCTTGTTGTTCTTTTTTGGTTGGAATAAATGATACCAATAATATGTTTTTCTTTAGTTCATCTAATGTTTTTATTATTGTTGTTTCATTAGATTTTTGGAACTTCTTCAATAAAAATAGTGTTTCATCATTTAAAATACTGCTGGCACTTATCATTTCCTGATATTTATTGTTTAACAAGCTACTCATATGTTTACTTCCATTTTTTAGTTTTTTTTCTTTTAAGAGATTGAAGTTTGACTATTAAATAATTCTTTTTACATATTTTTTATTATTATATTTTACTATTTTTATACAAAAATCTTTTTATGTTTTTTATCTCAAAATTTATTCTTCATTACAATTTAATATACAAGATACTCTTTTTATGTTATATATAACTCAAAACTATTCAAAAAATGATTTAGACCAGATAAAAATAGTAACTCATCCAACTGAAAAAGGGCGTGAAAAGAGGAAAAAAAATGAACAAAACAAAAAAAAAATGAACTGTAACTATAAACCCAGAAAGCATGAGCGACTCTGTTAAATTAGTTGTAGTTGGTGATGGTACTGTAGGAAAAACTTGTATGTTGATGTGTTATACATCGAATGATTTTCCAAGTGATTATGTTCCGACTGTATTTGATAATTATGTGGCAAATGTTACGATTGATAAAGAAACAATTTCATTAGGACTTTGGGACACTGCTGGACAAGAAGAATTTGATTCATTACGGCCATTATCTTATCCAGGAACAGATATTTTCCTTCTTTGTTTTGCTGTGATTTATGAACCATCCTTTCAAAATTTAAAAGAAAAATGGCAACCAGAAGTTAAACAGCATTGTCCAAGTGCTGCTTTAATGATGGTTGGAACTAAAATCGATTTAAGGGATAACGCTGCTGAAGTAAAGAAAATTACTGACCAAGGTCTTCAAGTTATCTCTCCTGAGAAAGGTCAACAAATGGCTACTGAATTAAATTGTGTTAAATATATGGAATGTTCTGCTTTAACTAGAAAGGGACTAAAAGAAGTCTTTGAGACTGCTGTTAAATATGTTTTAGAAAACAATGCTGCTGCACCACCTCCTGAAAAAAAAGACAAAAAGAAATGTGTTCTTCTTTAATTTTTACATTATTTTCTAATACTTTTTTATTTTTATTTGACTCTTCTTTCTGTGTTAAAAGTATTTATTAATTATTATGAAATAGTTAAAGGATCTTGTGAGTAGAAAAGAAACAATCTGAGAAAGATATTTAAGTAAATTGAAAGAATAAATCATAAAGAAAGTAATCTTATCTTCTAGCAAGCCATCCCATGAAAGCAAAGAATGCAACAACTAACATAGCAGCAATAATAAGACAAAATATGAGAAGGAAGAAGTCGAACATTGTATCGAGAGAATAACTTTTCAAGATTATCTTAATGAATAGGAGTTCCAACAAAAAAAAAAGAAAAATAAAAAATAAAAAACTAAAAAAAAATTATTTGAATGGCAAGTGTTAATAAAGAAACATTACAAACTCAATTAGAACATATGCAATTAAAATACGTAGGAACAGGTCATCCTGATATTTCAAAATAGTTTATTTCACTTATATATATTTTTTGAATTTGAATAAATTTATTTTATTAATATTTTAGTGAATGGATTTGTAATCAACAACGTGATAGTTATGCTTCTTATATTGGTCATCACTCATTGATGGCTTATATTGCTGTTGCTGAGAATCAAAGTATTGGAAGAACTAGATACCAATTTCTTGAAAGGATGTGTGACCCATGTGGTAAGCCACCACCTGAAAAAAATGGTATAGTTATCACAGAGGAAGATATGAAATCATTTTGTAATTGATTGAATTTTAAGAAAATGTTTTTAAAAATAGATAGTAAATCAACTAATACTTTCTTATAAACATATTTTAAAATCAAAAGATAAGGTGATAAGATTAATAAAAATCAATTTTTATTTATTCACTTCACCTAATATTGTTCCAACTACTGATAAAATACATAAAACCAGACAACAAAACATTGCTGTTCCAAAAACAAAATACCTCCAAATAGGAACAGGAGCATCTGGTAATTTCATCCATTTCTTTCTATTTTTCATAATATCAACTTCGTCATTATCATCTTCTGGTGATATTGGGAAATCTGAATTGTTACTTTCGTTTTGTGAGGGATGATTTTGTATTTCTTCTTTAATCTCATTTAATTCAATTTCAGGTTGTCCTTCTGCAGGAGTATTAATAGTAACAATGACATCAGCAACACCTTCATTCTTTTGAGCCTCAGCTTTTGATAAAGCAGCTTCAATATCATGCTGAGTGAATTTTTGATTTCCATCAACAACTTTATTATAAATAATATTATCAATAACTGACAATTTTCTGAAATTAGGATCACCAAATTTCTCAACTCTTGGCCATAACATAATAATACTTAATGGACAAACATAAACTACAAATATAGAGAAAATTGCAGAAGCAATAGAGAAAATAACACCAATATTAGTAACAAAACAAGCACATAAAGTCGTAACAAATAAAATAGAACATCTAATAATAAAGATAATAACTCTTCCATTCCATAATTGACAAATTTTCCATTTTTTTGGTATATATCTCAAGATACCAGCACAAGTAGAAAAAGTTAAAGCAGGATAAGACATTAATACTAAAATGATCATCAACATTCTACAAACAATAATTAACCAATCTTTATCTGAACTATTTGGATTTGAAAAATCATTTAAAACATTAGATGAAACTTTATCAAAACTTACATGTCCACTTACTGCCATAAATACAAAAAAGAATGAACATGTTAATACAGCAATACAAACAGCACCTTGTAATGAAGATAATTTAACTTTCTTTGACATACCTTTTGTTCCAACATAAATAGGAGGAATTGAAGAATGAATTTGAAAATTAGCTGTAATGAAAGGAGCCATTGTGAAAAAGTCCATAACACCACTTGGCCACCATTTATCTTTAAAAGTAGGGAAATTACCATCACTTCCATTTGAAGATTTTCCTTTAGCACCACAATAAATAGCTTTAATCATAACAGTAAATGTAACAAATACAGCAACGATGATTGATAATACTGAAATTCTATTAAGGAATTTTACTGACTTAGGAATAATAAATGGGAAATTTAAACAAACAGCTACAAGAATTAATAAAATATAATGCCATCCACATGCTATTCCAGCAGTTCTTTGAGGATTTCCATAACATTCATCAATAGTATTATCCCATTGATCTCTTGTAGTAAGGTCTTGAATAATACCAAATAAATATTGAGTAACAATTACTTGATAACTCATTAAAATACATAAATTAAATAATGTATTACAAATATCTACTAAACATGCTAATACTTTTCCAAATATTAATGATAATAATTCTCCCATTGTTCCTGCTCCTGTTAAATAAATAGCTCTATTATAATAATACCATGTATAAATAAAATAAACAATTGTTGCTAAACTCCATAATACAAATCCAACTATTCCCATTTTATAACATGCTTGACTTAATGATAAAATACCTGCTCCAACTAATGTATTTGTAAGATTAAATCCTAATGATATTGAACTTGTTATTAATGTTTTCCATGCAGATGGTGTTCGTTTTAATTTTCCATCTTCATTTCTTTTAAACTCTTTCTTTTGACATAATAATTCTTGAAAATTTCTTGCAATTAAATCTTCTACTGTAAATCCTTTTTTTGCTTTGACTTTTTTTAATTTTTTAACTTGACTTACTCGATCTTCATCTGTTGGTTCTGTAGTTTCATTCTTTGTTGATATTTTTGGTTCATATGCTATTTCTTCTCCATTTTCTCTTTTGATTTCATTTTCACTTTTAGAATTAGAATCTCCTCCTTTTCTATCAATAAATTCAACATCTAAATCAACTGATTCTTCTTCATTAGGAAAGTCATGATATCCATCTTCAATAAATCTTTCTGAGTATTCTTCAAAATCTCCTTTTTCTAATGTTTTAGATAATGTTTCATTGTCTAAATTACTCCTGATAACTGCTTTAGACATTATTTTTTATTGTTTATTTTCTTGTTCTTTAAAACAGTTCTACTTTGTCTCTATGTATTATTCTGTTTTGTTCCACTTATTCTACCTTAGATTATTCTATTTATTTCAAATTTTCATTCATCTAATTCAGAGTTAACTCTGCTTTTGTTCTTCTTTCTTTTTTTATTTTTTGAACTTTTTCTTTTTTTTTGAAGCATCTGCACATGGTTTGGATTGGAACTCTTCATCTTCTTCTTTTTGAATACTCTTTCTTTTTAATTTATTAACATCAAATCCCATTCAATCCCTTTTGATCTCTTCTTCCCTTTCTTTCATTAATTCATTCTTTTTCTATAAAAAACTAAAAGAACTTTCATTTTCTTCTTTTTTATTCTTTTTTTTTGTTTTGATATTTTATTGAACTGTTTTTTTTATGTTTTTATTATTATGATTTTATTTTTATTCCTTTTTTTACTCTTTTCCACTGTTTCTGTTTTAAAAAACAAAATTAAAATTAAGTATAATATTTAATTTTTAAAATTTTATTAAAATTTTATTAGTTTTATTTTGTTATTTGATGGAGTATTAATATTTCTATAGTAAAAAATTTCTTCTATTAGTAAGTAATAGAACTATAAAATTTCTTGGAGTTAAAAATAGTTAGTATTAATATTTGTTTTCATAAAAATGAGGTTTTATTTTTTCATTTAATCTTTTGTTGTTCTTTTTATCTTTGCCTTGGTTAACAAATTGAAGTAATGTACTGATGTACAGTGTTTCTTTTACACATCTTTCTTTCATAAGTTTAGTCAATTTAAATAACTACAAACAATTTCTGCAAATACTAATAACTGTTTTCATTACTGTTTATAATAATTTCAATATTTAAATTCCACGAAAAACAAAGTACTTTTTGTATGAAAATTATATTTTAATAAAAAGGTTATTTAAATAGATCTAATTTGTTTCTATTTCATTGTTGATTAGCCAATTTCCTTTTATTAAATTCATAACAAATCGTTTCACAAAACTTGAGTTACAGGAATAATTTTTTTAAATGTTCATAAATATTCAACTAAATCATTAAGGTTTATTTACATAAAAATAAATAATTTAAGAATAAATTATCAGTAGAACAGAGTATTTTAATAATAGCTACAAAATTATTATTATAATCTTTTTAAAGATAATGTTTATATGATATTTTAATTAGTAATACAATATTTTTATTCATTCATTTTCTTTTTTATTGCCACGTTTGATTTCTATAAATTATTTATAATAAGTGGTATAAAAGTAAATGTATTTAATAATTTCATTTGAATTACAATGATTCGTTGTGGTGTGAAATATTTTGGATGTTATTTTCCACAAAGTGAATTTGTTATTCTTTTATATGAAAATAAACTTGAATACAATATGATTTTGTTTTATATTTTTCTTTATAAACTGAATATTATTTTTATATCCAAACCTAGGCAAACGACAATTATCTATTTGGTTATATAAACAAATGCATATTTTGGATATTTAATATCAGGTTTCATCATTTCTTCTATTCTTCCTTTTGATTTTAATGAAAATAAAAATGATTTTGGATCATTTATATAATTATCAAATTTATCAATTTTCACATTAACATATCCTCCAAATTTATTTCCGTCTTCATCTTCAATAATAATTATTATATGTTCTTTATTCTTTTATTAAATATTGATTAAATACTCATGAATTAACATTCAAAATCATCAATATCTGAATCAAATATTATATTGGATACTTTTCTATTTGTCCATTCTTCTAGTTGTTTCATTTCTTACATTGTAGTCATTCCTTTCATTATTCTTAATCTTTCTTCTTCTTGTTTCTTTCTTTCTTTCTTTTTCTTCTTCCTCTCAAAATAATCACTGTAATATGTTTCCCATTCTTCTTTCTTTTTGTTAAATGATTCTGTGATTTTATCACTTTCTTCTGGTGTTCTGAATAGTTTATCTTTCATTATTGCTTTTTCAATTGAAATGATTTTATTGATTAATTTATTTCGTGTTTTACCTAGTATTTCTTCATCTTTATTACATTCTTCTATTATTTTCTTCATTTGATTCTTTATTATTTCTATTCTTTTAATTGTTTCTTGACTTTTTTCTATTATTATTTTTCTTCTTCTTTCTGTTTCATCAATTCTGTCAAATATTCCTTCTCCTCTTTTAATAGCTTCTGAATATGTTTCATCTGGTTTTATTTCAAATATTTCATTTTTAATACATCCTAAATAATATTAATACTGTTTAGTAGTATCATCAATTGATTGTTGAATATTTGGAATTGTTTCTACTTCTTCTTTAAAGAAATGAGTGTTCTTATTTATTAACTCTTCCATTTTATTTAAATTTGATGGTTGTATGGTTTTAAAGTAAAAAATAGAATGAAGTAAAATAAACTTTGAAAAAATATCATTTTCTATTATATTTATACTGTAATTTATATATTTTTATCTTTTTTATTTATATTGGTAGAATATTCTTTTTTATAGTTGTTAGCTTTTTTATATTTTGGTATGATATTTTGAATGACAATGAAATATTTCAAATTCATTAAATTTGTCATTATGTTATTTTATTCATCCTATCTTCTTGGGCTATCAAATAACATAAAGACTTCTTGTTCTAAAGAGTCAGTTAATAAATTAAAATGTTTTTATGATTTAGTTATATTGTATTTAACTTAAATAAAATCTCCTTTTAATATTCATTTTAAGTCATTGATTTTGTAATGAGTGAACAAATAAATATTCATTTAAGAAGATGAATGATTAAATACATTATATAATGAATTATAGAATGATTTAATTATCATTAATACTTAATATAACATATTGAAATATATTGAATATTATTAAGAGAGAATAGGATAAATAAAACATTATAAAATAACAAAATATAGAAATAGGTTTTGATTTAATGAAATTAATAAATTAATATACTAATTCTAAATTATCAATTATTATTTTATTATTAACAAATGAATAATTAAATATAAAACAATATATTAACATCAATAAAATGAATGATTTGATAATCATTTAAGTTATTTTTTTAATTTACAAACTGTATTATTAAAATCAGATAATTTACAATGAATAATAAATATAATGCAATTATTAATATCTATATTGTTTTTTAGTCACTTTATAACGATATTCAATATAAATTATTATTTAATTTAATGAGATATGGATCAACGAGTGACTTGATAAATCAATAAAACAATGTATATCATTAACATCAAAAATATGATGATATGTATTGATATTAATAATAACTTTATTTGTCATGATTTTGTAATGTATGTAATATATTTGTTAAATTAATTTTCTTATTATCATAATTTATTAACATGTTACATCTCTAAATGAACAACAACTACCATTATGAATATTTTTATGAAACGATGGGTCACGAAATTATGGATTTTATTCGTATTCATCTTTATATTATTATAATGATTTGTGATGTTGTTAATTATTTCTTAATTGTTGTATAAATGTAATGAATGTCAAAATTGTTTGATTAAAATATGGTGTTTATGTTTGATAGATCATTGAAATGAATTATCGTGTTGCAAATTAATTCTTGTTAAATGATTAAAAGGTAAAAAATAGTAGATAATACAATTAGATGAAAATATTTGTGATTAAATATGAGAATAACATATTTGTATATTATTAGTTATATCTTTCTACTTCGATATCTGTATTAAATGAATATATCTGTTGATGAAATTGAAATAAAATAAAATAAATATAAAAAGAAAATGATAAAAGAAAGAATAAAGAAAATAATAAGAAAATAAATATAATGATTAATGATAAAATTAATGAGTTATTATCATGAATGAAAGTTGAAGATGAACATTAAATTCATTATTATTAATTATAATTGTTTAATTTATAATACATATTAAATAGTCATTCTTCATTCTGTATTATTGTGTTGATGTTTAAATTATTCAATTTGTTATTATCATATCATCATTTCATTGAAACTTCTTATTTATTATCTTTTTATTTGTTTCATCATTTAACTCTTGTTTGATATGATAATATAAATAATTTAAATTGTACTTTATCATCATTCATCATTGATAATCATCTGTGATATAATTTAATTTTCATATCAATAATTATATCATTTAAATAAATAAATAATAACATCTAATAACATATCATTATGACATCTCATCAATGTGATAAATAAAATGTAATATTTACACATTAATAACAATAAGATTGATATTCATATTTATATAATCATTGTTATTCATAACTAACATTATAAATTTGAATTAACATAGTGCTCTTCTTTATTACATTTCATAATGATATTTTCATATTAAAATAGAATTGAAGGTAAATGAAATGAAATAAAGAATAATATAAAATGAACAGAATTATGAATAAATATACTCAACAAATCAAGATACAACATACTCAATACAACAAGAAGTTACAAAGTGACGACTGATTGTTATAGAATTATTATTTTACCTACTTTTTATTTTATTTTATATTTTATAATTTTAAGAGAAAATAATATAAAACAGAATAATCTAATATGCAAAAATATAATACACTATTTTCAATTGATCATTTTATTTAAATGCATAATTTCTTCGCTTATTTTGGTTCCCATTAATTTTCATATTTCATTATCTTATTTTCATTTTTATTATATTTTTATATTTATATCTATTTTCTCTTTATATTTATTATTATTTTATTTATGTTATATTATTTTTATTATTATTTCATTTATATATTTTATTTATTATATATCATTTCTTTTCTCTTATTATTTCTTTATATTTGTTATTATTTATTTAATTTTTATATCTTTTATCTATATCATATGAAATTAATATTTATTATTTATCATATATTATATACTAATCATATAACATCTATAACTGATTATATAATAAACACTAATAATAAATAATACATATAAATAAAAATCATATAAATAAAAATGAATAAAATAATTTATATCAATAAAATAATGTTAAATATTTTGTATCAATAAATTAAACACTTTTTATTACATATTTCTAATTTCTATAATAAAAAATACATCCATTATTTCATCACTCTTTTTATCATTTATTATTTCATTTTGAATTATTCCTTTT